GTTTCAACGATTCTCGGGATGGTTGGGAGAGATGTGACAACAACTTCACAATCTCACCATCTTGGGCGTAAGCCCGCCTCACATCATCATACAACATTGTAGATGGAACTGAGGACGCCATAACCGCAACAGTGACTGTCTCACTGTTGGGTTTCGCGACTGTTTCAAAGTCGGGACGACGTGAGAGTGCATCAGCGACGGCATTAAGTCGTCCTGGTTTGTACTCGACCGTAAAGTTGTATTCTGCAAAGAATGACAACCACCGCGCCATTCGTTGTGAAAGGTGCGGGCTGTTCACTGCCGTGCGTAATGACGCATGGTCAGTGTAAACAACGAAGGGTCTATCTCCTAATAGATAGACTCTGAACTTCGCGAGTGCATACTTCATGGCAAGGAGTTCCTTGTCATGCACTGGATAGTTCCGCTCAGCTGGTTGCAGCTGACGCGACTGATAGCAGACGACGCGTTCAACGCCTTCAAGGTCGTACTGCATTAATGCACAGCCGATTGCGAAATCGCTGGCATCACAGACCACATGAAATGGCCTGTCCTGATCGGCTATTGCTAGGACTGGGGATTGTATCAAGCTCTGCTTGATACCCTCAAAGGAGCGTTGACATTCAGCGTTCCATAACCACCTCTCGTTCTTTTTCAACAAACGAGAGAGGTGTACAGTCATCTCGGCGTAATTGCGTGAATACTTATGCAAATACGCCGCTAGCCTAAGGAATTTTCGAAGACCTTTGACATCGACCGGCACGGGCCAGTCGGTGATCGCCTTGATCTTTTCGGGATCAGGACGTACACCGTTCTTACCAACGATGCACCCAAGAAGTGGTATTTCGCTTGCTGCAAATATACACTTCTTGAGGTTTGCATACAATTGATGCTTTCGCATGATTGTAAGAACTTGTCGGACGTGGTACTTGTGAACCTCAACGTCCGACTTTCCATCCATAGCTCGACTATGGATGAATACGTCATCGAAATAACTCGGCGCGAATTCTCGTACTGGCCTCAACAGATGTGATACACACCTGTTGAACGTGGCAGGGGCATTACTGAGCCCTTGTGGCATTACTAGCCATTCCCAGAGCATGCCGCTAGGCGTGCTAACTGCGGTATAGGGTATATCCTGTTCCCGCATTAGGATTTGATAGAAGCCATCCATCAAATCCATGGACGAAAAGATGGTACTCTTTGACATACCATCAATGATTACATCCTTCCTCGGTATCGGCGTCTGAGCCGGTACCGTTGCAGCGTTCAATTTGTTGAACGCGTGCACTATCCGCCACCCTCCTGTTGCTTTTCGCACACAGAAGGTCGGAGAGCTATGTGGGGAAGTTGATTCCCTCACATGGCCCGCTGCTAAACGATCGGCAAAGAACTTGTCGATCGCAAGTACTTGTTCACGAGGCAGTGGCCACTGCTTCATGACACAGTACTTCGAGCCTGGTTTAAGCTCGACTTCGTGTCGAATACCTTTATCCTTCGGTAATTCGCACGGAACAGTTTCAGGGAATACATCCTTGAATTCAACCAAATCTTCATAGAGAGGATTTTCCTTGAGCGATTCCCATGATTGGGACTCATATCGCTCAATTCGTGTCTTTTCATCTAGGACACTCTCGTCCATAGATGAACTACTGAGAACTCTCTCGTTCTCAGTAAACACTGTTGCTGACCTTATGTCGGTTACATACTCGTCGTCAGCGACGAGTATGCAGATCTGCTTGACTTTGCCACTACGCAGATCACGCAAGAACCTTTTATGTTCGAGCGTTGGCAACTGAGTGATCTCCGAAGTTAACTTCGGAGGCGCAATCAGATCAAGTGTATAAGCGCCTACACATGATCCGTTATTGACTATGACATTCAATGTCTCTGTCATTTCCTGGGGACTTATTCCCTCAGGCTTCGAAGGACTTATTCCTTCGTCTTCCCGGGGACTTATTCCCGCGGGTTTCGGGGAACTTATTTCCGCCGTATTTGTAATCTTGGGACTTATTCCCTTTACTTCCTCTAGCTGGGGTTGCGCAACCACAGCGAGATCCTCTACGAAAGACTCTCCAGTCGATCTAGGATTATCGTTTCGCTTAACCTGAGCGATCGATTGTTTCTCTTCTAGATGTTCCCCGCTAGGGATACATCTTTGTCCCAGTCCACCCGACTTATTCGAGTGGTGGACCTTCGGCGCAGCCTGTGTTTCCTCACAGCCGCCGGAACTTTGCTCCGAAGTGTAACCGTTTGGTACACTAAGGTTTTGTGCAGTCGTACTAACGACCGTACCACAAGTGAGGCCATCGCACTCACTCGTAGTACATCCACACGCTTGTGGACGCTCCAAAACGTTCATCAGATGGCCATCTGATGAACAAGCGGCAGGCATCGTTACTGTCCGATGTTGCCAGTTTACCCGTGGTTCGTACCTTCTGAGCCACGGTATTCCAAGGATGACATCAAATTTGTCATCCAAATCCAATACGATAAAGTCATCGTCGTATTGGGTATCTTCTAGCGTATAGTGAATCTTCACTATACGCTTCATGACGGTTACGGATGCGCCTGTCGCAAGACGTACCGTCATCCTCGTAGGAGGTGTGTCACATTCACTGAATTTAAAGTGACCATCTTCTAGCGATTGGCGTCGTACAAAATTGTTGGACGCCCCACAATCGACTAGAGCTCGAAGGGACAACTTATTCGTCACTTCGAGTTTCAAGGTAATGAGTGAGATCTCATTACCTAGAGCAGCAACGCACAATGTCTGTGTGTTGGGAGCAACCTTCATCAAGAGGCCTACAAATTCTCTTGACGTTGCTGGATCAGTAGGGTGCTCCGCACCTACTGATCCTGTCCGTTTTTTGACGGTCCATCCCGTTGTTGCGTCTTTGCACCAACTGCGGACCCTCGTCCCTGCCCCTTTCTCATGGGTGGACGGTCACTACGCCCAGTGTCGCGAGACACTGGACGAGGGGCACTACACTCGTAAGCGTAGTGTCCTGTCTTTTGACATCTGTTGCATCTCTGCAACTTCTTGTAGCCTGTAGAGCGAGCCTTCTCGCTCTCTACATAACAGAGTTCCATCGGCTCTGGACCTCCGTTGTCATATCGTCTCGGTTGACGATATGATGTCGAGCTGGCGCGAGCCTGTCTCAGACTGAAGTCTTCCTGCTCCGCAATTGAAATGGCTTGTTCTAGTGAATCTAGTTCAAGCCGGAACAGGTGAGTCTTGACGGGACCATCCGCAAGACCCTGCATGAACACCGAAACCAACGTGTGTTCATCCACCGGATTGGAACTTATACAACTCGTGAGATGTCGTATATGTTGAGCGTAAGCGTGCACATCACGCTTACCCTGCTTGAGCTTCAAGAGTTCGGTTCGAGCTCTGAACTCAGCTCTAGGCGGTTCAAACGTTTGTCTGAGCCGCGACTTGAAGACTTCCAACGACCCAAACGCATATGGGTCGTGCAGCTTGAGCCCCAGTGCCCAAGTCTTGGCACGTCCTGCCAGATTTGACTGGGCAAATGCAACTTGCATATCCCCGTCGTCGATGCGACGCGCCCTTATGGCGTCATCCAATTCGACGAACCATCTCAAGAGGGAGTCTTCTTCGACCCCCTATACTTTGAGATGTCAATCTTCAAAGTCTCGGGCCGACGCGAGTGCATCGACCCGCCAGCAGCAGCCTGCTGCTGTCTCAACAGTTCAAACTGTTGAGCACCTTGTTCTCTCAACAACTCTGCTTGTTGAGAACCTTGTTGGTGAAGCAAGGCTACTTTCTCGCGTTCTGCGTCAAGTTCATTTTGAATGAACTTGGCGATAGTAGCATGTTGGGCATCTCTATTGAGAGCCTCTAGCATGACGCTAACAGCATGGATGCCCATGGTCGAACCCATTCGTTCAACCGCATCCCATTCGACATCGCTCAAATGGGAGTAGCCGTCACGCGTAGCGTGAAAGCTTTGGTCATCTTCATCATCCAACATATTCATGTTGGATGTGAACGCGGTCCTTGGACGGACTACAAAGTGCTACCAGGTGTAACGGGGCACCCTGAAGCTTGTACTGGTGACAGTACAAGCTACTTATTCTGATAACAGAATAAGGCGGTGCCTCGTAACTTCACGTACACTCGTACGTGCAGAGGAAGACGGTAAGAAGAAGCGAGTACTCGGTTAGAGTAAAAAAGTAGAACTGTATTTATAATAGTTAATGTCTGCAATAAATCACTATTTATCTTCATCTAACTATGTCTAAATACAAATGTGTAAATCAGTTATCTGCTCACCACTCATTGCGTGCGTCTGTCGTGGCGCGTCTTCGTTGGTTGATATAATGGCCTATATCAACCAATTAGGAACTACTTGGAAGTGCTACAGAATATTGTCCTAATGACAATATTCTGAGAATATAACTCTTATAGTTATATTCTATTAACAATTTCTTATAAATTGTTATGTAACGATTCACCCCGTTACATTCGGGACGTCCGACAATTAGTATCCATATCTTCAAAGTCGAATTCCGTTTGTATCTACGACTTAATGTACGCCGCGACACGGCCAATCTCACAAAACAAGTGAGATCATGCAGAATAATCGAATATATGGCTCAAGGAAGTTCGGCTTTTCTACTTGGACCTTGTTGACGATTTCAAACGGAGCCGCTCTCCTTACGGTACTCGCTAGTAAGCATGTAGACAAGGCTTTGGAATTGAATGCGCACGTTTCAAAGATTCTTGGCAGCGTTTTTACAAAAAAAAGAAGAAGTGGATAGACTTGGTCAAGCGGTCATAATTGATGGTCTTCGTCAAGCCTAGCAGTTTGTGCACTTCTCAAGGGTTCATCTAATTTTTTAGCAGATTCCAGTCCAGACTCGGTGATAGCAGGCGTTGTCTACCAAAGTTAAACGGGCGTGGCCGATATGCAGCACAAGATGACCTTCGACTTGAGCCTGGACGGTACTGTAAAGCCGCAGTAGCTCCTTTCTGTCTAGTACAGTCCTGAGGAAGTCTGGCATACGTCGTCACGCCACGTAACCTTCCGCGATTCCGACGATAATTTTCCACTCGTCATCGGTTCCTTCACGCAGCAGCAGTTTCTGACCCGCAGACGAGCGATCTGCACACAGCTGTTTGGGTGCGCAACATCAGCCGGCGTAAACCTGGAAGCGTCAAACAAAAAAACGTTGTACTCGGTGGTAGGAGTCGCCGCTGTTGATACAATAGAAGCTGTGCCATGACGTACAAAAGTCGCCCAGAGGTTGAGAATAGGGGCCTTTGCCCGCTTGTGCTGACTTGACAGTTTCCGAATAAGCTCGGTCAACACCAATTTAGTCGCGAGAAGGCCGTTACCCAAAGATCGAGCGATCTTTGCCACTCCTTGCGCGTCTTTCAATGTAGAAAGCGCTTTTTGGGGCGGAAACGCCTCCACCCGTATCAGCAATTTGGGATATTCCACCGCAAAGAGCTCACAAACTGTCGTCTTCCATACGTTCATGTGACAATTCCATGTGAAACTTTTCACCTCCGCTATCAAAAGCACGAAACATAGCGAAAGGAGAGACGGGAGTAGATGCAGTGTCGGTCGTCTCCGCCGCTGCCGCGTAGACCTCCGGAATATCAGAACCACCGGAACAGGCCCCCACTCCGTAGATAGCGCTTGGCCCATTCAGGGACGGAGATATCATCTCGGGAGAGGCTAGATTGCCTAAAACTGGGAATTTAGAGCCCGTGTCGGGAGAGGGCGGGGTGGACTCGTTCCGCGGTCGCAGCCCTGGGTCTATCTCCGTCCCCGTGAATGGGGTCGGCGGCAGCCAACGGCCTATCCTCCCCTCCCTTCTCGGGGCAAAGACACGGACGAGGCTTGGCGTCCGTCGTGCGCTGAGAACCCTGGCATGCCAGATGTAGCTTCAATCCTTTCCTCTTTAAAAACCTGATAAATTTGAAGAGTGGTGACACTGGGAATAAATTGCATCATTAACACTAAATCAAACTAAATCAAACGAAATCGGTACTAGCCGCAGAACCAGGACCAATTAGAAATAGAAACAGTGTATGACTGTTTGTTTAGATTAAAATGCTGGAGGAAACTACGTGATTGGTAACGGGCCTATCCTTACTATCTAGCTGTCAAATTGATCTGGCTACATGCCCTTTTAAACTATACCTAGCGCCCACGAGCGCCTACTGACGGAGACGGAGAACGATTTCGACCGGGATCTCTTTACTTAGTAAACGAAATACTATGATGTGGAGGCAAGGAAATTACTAATGTTTACATTGTGTGTGTGTTAAGAAGGAAAATAAATGTGATACCCGATAGCAACTCACACTTTCGTGATAGGGACGGAAACACTGGTGGCATACCCCGTACCCACGCTACATTTTAACGTTTATATGTCGCTCCTTTCGTTACACCGCTCTCTGCGTTTGTGACTTTAACGATTGTAAGGATGTGTGGACCCCGGCATGATTCAGGGCTGGTCATTTTGCGCAGCAAGCACTAGGATCAGCATCAGAACGGATTCGCTTTTGTCAATTGGTGCGCTTGTACGGCAACGGTTCGTCCTTTTTCAGTATTATAATGGCTAGGGAAGCAATTGGATTTTTATGATAAGGCTACATATTGCATTTTGATGGCTCAGTAGGACTTAAATTAGATTGGAAAGATTTTCTAAATGTACACTGAGTCCTGAATTCAAATTGCTTAGGACTGCGACGACATTAGCCACTTAATTAGAGTACGCATGAAGTTTCACGTGTCATTAAGAGCGAAGGTCACGACCATTTAGACTGACCTCCGATACATCTTAAGGTATGAGTTTGCCGAGTGGTGTGCATGATGAAGAATGTTTTTGTCATGGTTTACCTCAGATATTAGTTATGGCACAGGACCGTCATCGATTACACAGCTACCGATCGTATGTTGCAGTTCGATATAAAGTGGTACACTGTTTCTAATTTTAAATTGGTCCTGGTTCTGCAAAGGTTTCACCGATCTAGTTCCGATGATGCAAGTTACTCTGACACTGGCACATTCTCATCTCGCTGGGGCTCAAGATAATACATCGGTCCATGCTACGTCAAAGGGATATGTTTTACCACGAAGCACACCAAGAGAGTTGGAAGGAGGAAGGAAGGTGACGTCAGGGTATGAAGCTATCAGTGGTCACAATCAAACGCGCCTGTTGTGCGCAGTGGCCACGTGAGCTTATGAGGACAAGCCGGAGCAGCGATCATGTAAACCAAGTTGATTTTTTTATAGCCTCAAGGAAATTATGCACAGACGCACAGCTTTAGCGAAGGGGTCGGCGATCTAGTTTACCGTTTTTTCAGATATACTTTAAAAAGTTGCTGCATCAAGTCATGTATAACGCGTTGACTTTTTTTAATTTTATGAGCAATTTGATTCAGGAGACAGCGGACGCTAGACTAGAAGTCCAATTACTACCGCGGTAGTCCCAGTGAGTCATCATGACGTAATTCCTCGCCTTCACCTCGTAGGCGATTTATCTGCTTTCCGGGTTAAATCTTAAAGTTGACAACGAGCTCAATAGTTGCCCATAAGCACCACTGGACGAAGAGTATCTTGTCATGTGCTACTGAACATAAAGAACCGGTACTTACTCTCAGCAATGTCATCATGGTCTTGAGGGGATTCTCTTTGCGGGACCTGGCTCAACCTTAGCGGAGGGGCCGGCGATTTAGTTTTCTGTTCAACAATAATCAGGGATTGTTCGTTGTATTTCTTTGATTGACCAATCAGAGCATTTTGGTGTGAGGGGGTGGATTATTATTGCGAGGGTGGGTGGACGCTTGACGCCATCATTATTTTTTTGATACCTCCAATGAGTTTGGTACTGGTTCGGGACTTTCGCACAAATCTGGTACTAATATTGACATTTGCTCTAAAGTATGCTGCAGGAGATGCTCTGGGTGGTTTACTATAAAAACTGCATCGACAAGTAGATGCAACATACGCATCGTGTTCAGTAGCCTAAAGACGCCAGCTACTGATTTAGCACAGCTTTACAGTTCGTTTTTACCCGTGACCTGTGAGGTCTTCTATTACCGTTAACGTACTTTAACTGACTTTTACTCAGCAACGATGGCTTTAAATAGCTCTAGAGTTAATGGTGAAGATGATGAGCTTTTACTGATTTCGCTAGCGATCGTGAATGTTAGCCAGGTCAAAGCGGATACCAAACACATAACGGACGAGACGGGATCCGGAGGCGGAGAAAGAAAAACGGATGTCACCTGTTAACTGAAACCCCCGCTGCCACAGTGTAACCGAGTTGCCCACCAGCGCGACACCACAGGGACAATAGCGGTTACTATTCCAAGGATCATTTTGCAAAACCATTGTGCTCATTTGATTCGATGTATTCGACACATTCTGTATCGATCTGTGGTAGAATGTAGTCTGGTTCATGGCTGTTACGCTGACTCACACAACGGGAAGGGCACAGGCAAGAACGAAACAAGAAATTGTTCAGCATGCACATTGCAATGGTAGCACGTCCATCAAAAGGTCGATAGAGATATACCGATTCCGCTATCACGCAAATTGACTCCACTCATGGCGCTCTCGAAAGCATTCGATGATGCTTGTTGCAGTTCGCCTCATTGTTTCGCTTGAAAATTCCACAAAAGTCGACCTTATTGTGTGGACGATGGTGGATACTCAATACACGATCGCGAGCTCTGCATCGTCACATGTTCAGTGCAGACATGAGCGCTTCATGTACTAGATACTCGACGGGCATTCCGTTCTGGTAGTGCGATTCGATTCGTTTGGCTTTACTCTCTGTTATATCACTACAGCGACAGCTAAGAAGCAACCCTGTAAAGGCGAAGCCTGTGTCCGTTCAGCTACAGTTACGTCGACCGCAGCTACATGCCTACTGTTCCTTTCGGTTACGTGCATCGATGGTTCGACAAAACCTCCCAGGTCGAAAGAAGGACATGCCTCAAAGCAGAACTTGTACAATCCACTGCATTCCTCTGTTGCATGCGTCACCACACTTTCAGAAGCTCGTATCGCTTTGCATATTACATGTACGTACGGCAGCGTGAACATCAACCTTTGAAGATCGGGCGGAATCTTTGTGGTAACAATCCGAGGCTTAAAGCTTCTCTCGTCTGAGCATCACATCTGCGAATATCCGGGTCGCTAATTTGATTTTAGCGGACTCTTCGTTTAAGGTGCTTTTTAGGGTTGCAGCGACGCCAAATATATGGTGCAAAACGCTGAACGCTAATCGCTATCTTACAAGCGCAATCAACTCGAGCCTTATGTCAGTACCATCACCCACCAAATGCCTTCAACAGACTGACGCCTATCCAGATAAACACCCTCATTCGTCGATACCTAACAACGGTACTACTGACTGCGCGGTATCGAGATTCCCATTCGTGTCACTACATGCCGTAGACCCTCGATTCTAAAACTCTCATACCAACGACTTCTCTTCGGCACTCAGCGCGAGGCAGAACTGCGTAAGCAGATGGACAGCCTTGTGGTACTCCTCGAATCTCGCACATCGTTCCAATTTACTCACCATCTAACGCCACGCAGCATCTTGACCAGCTCTATCCTGAGATCCCATTACTGCCATCTTCATCGTGCCAATCAACGTAAAGTCACCACTGTCCAGTCGTACAAAAAAGCAAGGCTCGTCCGCTCGTGCGTGCGAGAGACTGATCGGCATAGGCGCCGAGGCATGAAAAATCCATGCTGGATGTTCGCTTCCGTACCCGTTACGATATTTCTGTAGTCACGTTTCCAGTCGATACAGTTGCTCAGGCGTGGCTGACATGCAGCAGCATGCTAAGTCTTAGGTTGTCGACTGACCTCGTGGTCAAAAGAACTCCATTTATTGCTGTGAAGTAATGTCAAGACATCTAAAGGGTCTGTTGCGAAGCACGCTGTCGGAATCTCCTCAACAAGTTAGCGGCGGTCTCATACCCGGCACACTGATGGACCAGCTCCATTACTAACTCGCTGTCTCCCTAGTAGTCCCCCGATTATTTCAAAAGTGGCCTACGTAATAACGTGCACGCGGGGTCGTCATTTGTTTGCATGTCTTCGACCTTGCCGTCACGCAACGTTGTTTGACGGATGCCACGTCGCCGCCACACGACGAGACCATGACCAGCGAGTTAGCTCGTGGCCACCGAGACGGGGCCCAGATCGTCGAGGATCGCCGTCGTCTCGATCATATTTTCAGGCTCAGGAACAGCAGCGTAATCGTCATTGAGACACCGCGACCGACCTTACTACGACAAATCTACCCATCAAGAAGATGCTCATAGTCCTATCGAAAACTTTCAAGACCTGATCTCCACCGCGACAAACTAGTTCCTACCCAGTCGCTGTTGTAGCTCGTGAACCAGGAAGATGGCCGAAAGCAGTACGTAGAACAGGAAGCGCTGGAAAATCCACGCTCGTTCGCTCGGTGTAGCGTGCTTGACCTAGATTTCAACGCCTACTCGATCTGCTGCACATTGGTTACAACATCCATCCGCCTGATCTTATTGCACGGCCGGTGCTACGTGCAAGGCTTTCGACAACTATAACTCTAGCAGTGAACCACGACCAAGGACTTCCTGCTACATTAGCACGAGGTGAAGTAGAAGGGCACGTTTCCCGTATTACACAACGTCTACCTACTCGACCACCACGTGGTCCTTTGGCAAGCAGTTGGCGACGGGTTCATGCTGGCATCCAACAACACCACAACAAGTTCCAGCGGCAGAATAGCGACCCACGACTGTATCGTTGGCGACATCTATGGTGGCGATCGTACGACATGTCTGTCATGTCCCTGCTGGCGTAGCGCACAAGGTGGTCCTGTTTTCCACGGACGGGACCATCCAGCAGACCAGACGTACAACCGATGACGCCGATGACTCAGTGACGAAGGCTACGGCCGCGTCTGCCCTGATGCCCGAAGTGTCGGTCAATTGCTATCCTCGAACACTTTGAAGAAAAAAGCCCACTACTTCTCGGCCGATCGCAACTGCCAAGTGCACGACGACGTTAGCTGGCATTACAGCACGTGACATCCTTCGAAACGGAGCCGTGACTCCTTTCAACGCTCGTTTTCCGCACGATCGAGTCGCACAGTCTTGCTCCATGTCATTCTCGTCGAACTCTTTGTTCATCGTGAGCATGCCCAGCACGCACGTCCTGAAGGGATAAAGAAGAAGGATCCGCTTTACAACGTGTCGATGCACGTTCAAAAAGCATGCGTGAGTGCCTCCATGCGCCTCGTCTCGCCCCTCCGCACCACTTCCGTACCCGTTGCGTTCAGAGCGGCGCATGGATTTTCAACCGCCTCGCTTCTACGACTTCAAGCGCGAGGCCACGACCCATGGCGAGGTTGTGAACCCCCACCTTTTGCCTCGGAACGAGGCCGCCACAACCGGCTTTTACATGTCCCGAAAGTTAGAAAGATGCTCCAAAGTTCTCAACGATGTGCGTCGTCTACTTCTGCCACTACTGCTGCTAGTGGTGGTGCTGCTGCTGCCTCTGTTCCCCTTCCTCTCTCTCTCTCTCGTTCAGCCGCGAGTGAGAAACCCAAACGCCCTTCGGAGGTTGAAATTTCTACCGACCACTACCGCACGCCAGCCCATCGACTGTCGTCGCGACGTCTGCCGGGTGGTTCAACCACCCGCCCACCTCTAACGTCCACTCGGTCGTGTCTACCGCCCATCTGTCGGGCACTGCTGTCGTCTCTCGCACACATGCGGTCCAGCGCATGTCGCTTCCCTAATTTTACCCAAAGCCCGTCGTGACGACGAGTTCCAGGCTGGCTCCTCGCGCCTCGAAAGGCCGTAGCTCGCAACCGAGCACCGAGCTCGGCCCCGCGACTCCGTAACCACTTCATTCCTCGATTTACCTTGTCCAGCACAGGGAACAACCTCCCTCCTTCGCACCCTCCCCCGGTCCTCTTCTCCTTCCCCTCCTCGTCCTTTTCTCGACCTTCCCACCTGTACCCCGCAATGGTGTGTACTTCTTACATGACCGTGTACGCCATGCTGGCCGCCATTTCGGTCGGCTCCGCCTCGGCTGGACACAGTGTGTGCTACGCGACGTGGCACAATCCGGCCGTGACGAAGGAGGTCCTGCTGAAAGACGTCCTGGAGATCGGTACCTACTTTTCGAGCTTCCGGACGTTCGAAACCCGCATGGCCGGCTACAACATCATTCAAATCGCCGGTGAGGCCGGCGTGAAAGTCGCCGCGGGCGTGCAGATGAACGACGAGCATGCCGTGGACGCCGAGATCGAAGCCGTGTGCACCGGTTACAGCACCAACCCAGAAGCGCTTGAAGCCGTCTACGTTGGCAACGAGAACCTGTGCAACAAGGACTTTGGCACGGTTAGTGCCCAGGTGCTGATCGGGTACATCCAACGGGTCAAGGAGTGCACGCACGGAGCTGTGCCGGTTGGCACCGTCCAGCGCGTCAGCGAGTGGGTCGGTGCCGAGGATGCGATGCTGGTCGCCAATGCGTCCGACTTGATCGGGGTCAATATCTACCCCTTCTTCACCCCGGGGGACTCGTCTCCCATCGAGAAGCTCCAGGCTCAATGGGACCAGATGACGAGCAAGTACGGCGCTGCCAAGTGTCGGTTGACTGAGACTGGGTGGCCGACCAAGGGCGAAGACAATGCGGGGAACCATGCGTCCCTCGAGACGGCGCAGCTCTACTTTGACAGCTTCTTGACGTGGGCACAGGACAAGGCGTCGTCGTACTGGTTCATGATGTACGACACGACGAAGAGCTACACGGGCATGGAGTACGAGATGAACTTCGGTCTCTTCACTGCTACGGGCGAGAAGAAGATCAACATCCCTGGCTTCACGGGCTCCAAGACGGGCTCCCCTGTCAACGACACGGGAATGGCCCCCGGGACCAATAGTCCTGGCAACGATCCTCTCCAAAACCCCGTGCAGGGAACTCCCATGGACGGATCTTCTGGTGCTCCGTCTGCACCGAGTCCCGAGCCCGTTAGCACCCTGATTGAGCCTCAGTACTTTAGTGCAGACGGCAAGCCGCTGACTGGCGATGCCAATCGGCACTATGATGGGGTGAATCCTCCTGCGGACGGATCTACCGGTCACCCGTCTGTGGTGGAGTCTGGCAACGATCATCTACAGAAACCCGTGCAGGGAACTTCCGTAGAGGGCACGCCTGGCGCCCCGGCTACATCGACTCCCGAGCCCGTTACCACCCTGATTGAGCCTCAGTACTTTAGTGCAGACGGCAAGCCGCTGACTGGCGATGCCAATCGGCACTATGATGGGGTGAATCCTCCTGCGGACGGATCTACCGATCACCCGTCTGTGGTAGAGTCTGGCAACGATCATCTACAGAAACCCGTGCAGGGAACTTCCGTGGAGGGCACGCCTGGCGCCCCGGCTACATCGACTCCCGAGCCCGTTACCACCCTGATTGAGCCTCAGTACTTTGGTGCAGACGGCAAGCCGCTGAATGGCGGTGCCAATCAGGGCATCCCGGTGCCAATGACGACTCCTGGTACCCCAGCTGCGGAGAAGTCGGGCATCCCCGAAGGCTTGCCTCAAAACGGCGCGGGCGTGCCTGGCCACTTTGACGAGGAGCCCAAGCCGGTGGATGGCAGTGTCAAGAAGGGCATCACGGTGGAGAAGAACGAGCCAGTGGTGACCCCTGGTACGCCGGTTGTGGTGGACTCTGGCAAAGACTGTGCCATGTAACTTTCCTCGTGACGCGCTGACCATCGCTGGAGGGTGTAGACGGCTCGATTGCGTGAGTGGAGACGTTGTGCAGTTACTGCGCGGCGCAGGAGCTTTGTAGCGGACGTGCATACATAACCCGAATAAAAACACTCTTTTCTGTGTCGTTGAAGCAGTTGACGTGCTTCATCCGTAGCTCTACGATGCCGAAACAACGAGAAAGTAGCTAACTTGTCGACTACGACGGGACCCCTCGTCTATTCAGCCTGCAATGACTTTGAAGCAATGCTGCATGTGTACGGTCCGTAGTTGATGACAGCCTAATTGCTACCTGAGGGTGTTTAGCCATCACGAAATACCGTTCACTTTGCTGCTACATTTTCCGTCATCCCGAAAACTAAAACCGCACTCTGGCTGCTGCGCGAAAGTTGAGTCAATTTAAACAGAAAAGCATCCACAAGTCCCAATATATCTTCGCAGTGTTCAGAGTTACAGCAGTCGTAGCTGCTGTTCAGTCGATGTCAATGCTCTATCGTCGGAAGCACGACGACGCTCCGTGACACCACCGCACGATTGACTTTACTGTCGTCCTAGAAGGTGCGATTCAGATCAGGCAGTTGTACCCTGTGAGAGCCCGCACCCATTAGGCCGAAGGAAGTACAGCAGACTTCCTGCTACACGCGCCCATGCTGTTTAACTCGGAGCCGATGTCGTCAGCAGCGAAAGTCTCAAACGCAACTGTCTTGTAAAACTGCAACAGGTCGGCACACGACCAGACAAGACACTCACGCGAGCTCTTCTTTCACTCGGTCCAGACTTTTACGTTGCTCAACGACCGTGCTTTGGTCGGGTCGACGTTGCGTCCTTCCAGCGTCCGGTCGATAACGAATGGCGACACTTGACGCACCTTCGCACACGAGCCAGGAAAAAAGACCTCGATGACTAAAAGGTCGCAAGGACGTGCAAAAGAGCCATGAAAGCATTCGTAGTGTAGTGATGGCGAGCAGCAAAGATCCCCAGAGCACAGGAAGACAGGCAACTGCTTTACAGTGTAAAGGCGCGTAACGATACACCCTGTTGCGTGACTATCAGAGAACTCCGTGCTTCCTAAAACCTCCACGCGCTACATCTCCGCCCTCGCTAACCACCTAGCAAAGAGACTGTCAATCAAGTAAACTACTGACAGCTCACGTCTTGCAACCGCAACAGACCCGCCGCCACCACCACCACTACTTCGTGACGTCGCTCGCTTCTGGTCACAAAGTGGTACCTTGCAATGCAGGTGGCGAGTGAGCCTGACGTCCTCAGTACGAACCCGTTCGTCTTTCGAGGTTTTGTCTCGCCTCCTCCCTATTCGACGGTTCAGCTCGCCACCGGACAGATGCATCCAGATGCTCGTATCTGTGGGGATCCATCCAGGAGGTGGTGCTTAGCTGCATCGATAGCAAACAGTCAACTAGGAGGGAGCTCCATTCATTCCACGGGGCAGCAGATTTTTGGGATAGGAAGGAGGGAGTCGACCAGTAGACCTTTAAATCAAAAAAGCGCTCGACCTGATGCCGCGAGCAGATCGCCATCGGTTGAGCTACTGCGTCTGCGTTCTGATCGCGAACTCAACGGACGGACGGGATTCGTGGTAGAGACGAGGCTCTCGACTCCGTCTTCGATCCATCCGGCGCACGACACATGTGTGTAGTCGCTCACGATCGGCTCGTGAGTTCCAATTTCCTATACAAAATCGGCCCAGCCCAAGAATCCGGAATCGGCTGTCGTTCTCTGGCTCTGTCGCGGCTGAAAGTCCGATCGTTGAGGCTGTAAACCAGGTCAAAGGAGAGAGCGGAAGGGATGACCTCGTCCTCATCCTCATTGTTATTTTTATTGACCCGAAGCAGGACCTCGTCAGTACTTGGTCGATATCCCGAATGGTCTGGTCATCCCCAGCTCTCCGACTCGGCGCTTTCTTGGCCGCAGCCACTTTCCATGCGGTTCTTTCGGACGTCCTCTCCACAGGCATCTGCTACGCCCCGTGGCATCACGCGTCCGTCACCCACGACGTGGTCGTCAAGGACTTCCGTCAAGCCGGTCAGTTCTTCGCCAGCGTCCGGACTTTCCAGGCGCTTTTCGGCGGCGTCAATGTGATTGAAGCCGCTGCAGCCGCTGGGATTAAAGTGGCGGTTGGGGTCCAGATGACGGAATCGGCTCTCATTGACGCCGAGATTGACGCGGTGTGCAAGGGGTTTCAAGCCAGTCCGGACGCTCTGGAAGCCGTGTACGTGGGCAATGAGAACCTCAAGAACAAGGACTTTGGCGAGTTCTCGGCTGGCCAGTTAGTCGGCTACATCAAGCGGGTCAAGGAGTGTGTTGGGAACGTCCCGGTTGGCTCAGTCCAGCGCATCAATGAATGGCTCTCGTCGGACGGAGCTTCTGAACTTTCGAGAGCGTGCGACGTCATTGGGACCAACATCTACCCGTTCTTCACGAACGGTCCACAGAGCGCAGTGGAGAAGCTGCAGCTCCAGTGGAAGCAGATGGCTGATAAGTACGATGCACAGAAGCTGCACGTGACCGAGACGGGGTGGCCTTCAGAAGGGGAGAAGTACGGCGAGAACATGCCGTCAGCTGATGGGATGCAGACGTTCTTTGACGACTACGTCAAGTGGGCCAAGACCGTGCCGCAGAGCTACTGGTTCATGATGTACGACACGACGGTGAGCTACACGGGCGCTGAGTATGAAAAGCACTTTGGCTCGTTCACTTCGGACGGAAAGCCAAAGCTGAAGATCCCAGGGGGCGATGGCTCGGTAGTGCAGCAGGAGCAGGTGAACTCGACGGACTGGTCCGAGCACTCGCAGGCGATGGACCCGTCCCAAGAATCGCCATCGGCGGACGTCAAGCAGGAATCGGAGACCACCGAGGCACCTCAACTGCCGCCAGCAACGGAGCCACTTCCTGAAGAGCCAACGACGGAGACCTCTCAGCCACCTCAAGCTTCTGCTCCGGTTCAACCACCTTCGCCAGCGACAGAACCGGTTCAACCACCACCCGCGGAGGCTGCTCAACCATCTCCCGTGGAGTCACCCCAGCCACCACCAGTTGATGCATCCCAGCCACCACCGGTTGAGACACCCCAGCCACCCCTAGCGGCAGAACCAGTTCAGCCTTCTCCACCTGCATCGACTGACTCCGTTCCGCCACCTCCACCAGTCACTTCGTTCGAGTCATTGGAAACGCCGAGTTCACCTGATCAAGTAGAGCAATCGACCGTGCATCCTGTGGACTTGGAATCCACTGCGGCGGCCAAGTGCAAGGTCAAGAGTCTGCGTGTGTGAGAACGCGCTGTTTGTCAATGGTCATGCCACGCAGGAAGCCATTGGAATCTTCTCCATCTCCTCTTTGGTCGGACCAGGTGTGTAGTTATCAAAGCGGTTCGAACGGACTCGTGTGCCAAGTCACAGCCTGCGTGAATCAATCAATCAATCGATCATCACATAAATACTTTGCACCTTGTTTACAGCATCGTTGATGTGCTACTACTGCAACTCCCTTCATGGAGGACACCGTCAGTCCCTAACAATGCATAATGTGACGACGTATGTTGATCCAATAGTGCCCCTTGTTCCAGTTGCCGTCGCCGTTCACGCGATGCATACACATTACGTCGACGTTCCGCGGCTGCATGACTCAAACCAGAAGGAGTTGCATCGCTACAAGAGTGCAAGACGTCAAACGAATGTGTAGCAGCAGCCACTCGCTTGGTCAAAGTTGTCGAGAAGCTGGTCTTGCGCTTCGCAAGTTCAATCGGAACCACTTGAAACACTTCTGCGAGTGCATTGATCTGAGGCATCGTGTGCTCCCCCATGCGGTCAACCGAGCACGGGGTGGCAACGAGGTCTGCAAACATGTACAGCCAGTCTGCAATGCGTTTGGTGACCAGAATCTGCCCACCGTCGCCTAGATCCCCGATTTCGTTAGCAATCACAACAGAGGCGCCCGTGTACGTCATCTTGCCAGTCACAGCATGCACGTCTAGTACCAATGGTCCGTCTGCATCCACGGCATCGTGAATGCCCATGCGGACTCGCAGACCGCAGAAGAGCAGGTGATGACCGGATCGCAGCTTTTTCGTTGCAGCCAACAGGCCATGCAACTCCTTTGGCCAAGCTGCTTCCAGTAGCTGCATCTGCACGTCTAAACAGTACTCAACAGCTTCACGGACAGTGTGGAATGCCAGTTGAAAGGCATCCCCTGCCGTCGTGATCTCGTAGCCACGGTACTTCATCAATAGCGACCTAAGCATATTGTCGTGGATCTCCGTCGCCCGCTGCATGATGAGGCCGTCGTCTATGCCCCACAACGCACTCGATTGCTGAATGTCCGTGAACACGAACACGGGGTTCACAAGAGGCGGCTCGATCGACTCCACTAGCACGAGCGTATCTTGCGGTGAGAAGAGCTCTCCAGACTGCATCAGTCGAGCTTCCACCTGAGCTTCCACATCGTCAGGCAAACAGCATCGGCAGAGCTTGAGCAGACACGATTGACTGCACATGGTCGTGATTGCAAGGGCTGAGCCCGAGATGCAGTAAACGAGAGCACTGACGCTCATGAAGTCCATGAGTTTAAACTTCTGGTCCGGCATGGCGTACAGCACGACGGATGCGGCTTGGAATTGCAGCGTGAAGATCGCGTAGATGGTCCTGCATAGAAGATGTATAGAAACACACTTGACATCAGTACCATGGACTACTACTTCAACTATAACATCAACAACCAAGGCAATGCCGTACATAATCCGCATGAGACGTTGATAGATCGGCGACGTGACGAATTGGCCCTGGACGTTTTCGTACTTCCTGCCTCTCCAGTTGAGCCTTGCAATGCACAGCACCATGTACAGGAAGCTCAAGAACTGCGTCACGTACACAGCGAGCAGACAGCGTTGCGTGGCAGTGGTATACCCGCCCTTCACGGCTGCAAGTACAGTCTCCGCTATTACAAAGACAGCAATAATGGGCCAGACTCGCCACATGTACCATCGGATCTGCTCTCGTTCTTTCTGAGCTCCTCGGTCCATTGACTTGGCTGCAATGAGCTCGAGTTCGTGCACGAGCGGAAACGTCCACACGGTCACTGCAAAAAGCGCCGAGTCCCCCAGGACCAGCAGAGACGTGACGACAGCGTTATGTGAGACTTTAAAGTGCAGAACGGAGAACACGCCGAGCTTGCTGTATCGGTTTGTGAGCGATTGCATCGCCGCGTTCGTCGTGGACTCCCATGGACGACTAACACTTACGATCATGTAGACGACGCGACTGAAGGTGAAGACAAAGTAGCAAGCAAAGAAGACGGAAAAGAGCCATCGGACGCTCGAGACGTGCACGTCCCATGACCGACGGAGACTGAAGGTCGTCAATCCTGTCGCAATGCAAGATAATCCCATCGTGACGATCGCCACAGGTGTCCACATGCGAAGAGAGAGAGAGAGAGAGCGATTGTTTTACCTGCTAAGGACCAGAGCCAATTCAACGAATGACCGAGCGTATTGTACCTCAACGGCAAGAAGAAGGGCACGACGTGCGAGAAGATATGAATCGAGCGTGTATTATTCTTGGCACGAAATGCAGCGAACTTGGACGAAGGGTTTCTGCTGGTGGAAGGCTATTGCTGGTTGCAGCGTCCGTTTGAAGGCTGAGAAAACTCAGCCATCGCTTGGAAGCTAGAGCTTTGCCTTTGAACGGACAGTCCTGGACGGTCCGTTAAGTCTGCGCTTTGTCGCAAGACGCAACAATCACGACATGCGACGCGACTCGAACTCGTTTCGAGGTTCAGCGTGATAACCGACATGTTGGTGACATAGTCGGAGAAGACTTTTGCGGTCGTCGTTGCTGAAGATGCTACTACGGCCGACTGGACGTCGATATCTGCGGATTGTACGGTGAACGCAGAGACTAAAGACAGGGTCGGGAGACGTACAGGTTGTGTCGGATAAGGAGACGCATTGCACAGCCTAGAGCTTCTTGTAAGTTACTTTCAACGGCCGATGATGGACGGGTACAGCGACGTATTTACATGCGTGATGGTAACTTGTGGGCCTTCTGCACAGTCGCCGTGCGTGGTGCATCGCGATCGTATTGTCGCAGAAGTCGTGGTGAAACTCTCCGATCGCTTGGGTAGAAGTGTCGGGAAACGGGAAAGATGTCCACCGTTGAATTGATTTGACCCTCGCGTCGTCGCGTGATCGTTCGTTCGTTCGACTGCCCACGGGATCAAGTCGAAGTTGAAGCACATGTTCATTTGCCTGCGGCGTGGCTACCGTCACTGAGATGGTCTTCCCGGCAAGACAGCGTGGTTCAATTGCAACGGGACGATTAGCTGTACTCGATCGTCTCATCACGAGTGATTTACAATGCGTTCGATGGCTCTCAAAGGCGTGACTATGTCGCGGTGATACGATCTCTAGGCTACCGCTTTATTGAGGCCTTCAAAGTCTCAGCACAACTCCAGATCCAGCCGCCACGAGCGAGAACTGACGGATGCGCTCGAGACTGAAGCGTGGAACTGGCCTCAACGGTTTGCGTGCTCTTAAATGAACTATCGCCACTATCGAGTGCGATGGGTTCCTGGGACCCAGACACAGTGTAGGCGAGACGCTCATTTGGCACAAGCACTGATAGCAAACCCGGTCCAGTCCCCAGCATCGTTGGCATTTCTCAACCCTTTGCAGTGACTGCAAAGTCGCTCAGGCGACTTTCGTGCAAATTACTTGCGATCGAAGCAGCGTTTGCCGTGTACTACACGGTCAGGAACTCGTAAATGAGACGATTACACACGACAACGTGACGATTACAATCGCAAGCGAACGACTTCATACTCAAAGTCACACGTAACATGACGATGGTACAAAAGACAAACATACCTTTCAAAATTGTCGCTATATAGTGCCACGTGCGACTTGACGTTTGCGAGATTTGAGCTGCTTAATCGATCGGAATCGAGAAACCGACCTGGCTAAGTGATCTCGTAGATAGTAAATAAGTTAGTGCGACTACATGCTAGTGGCACGCGTGTAAAACGAGCCGTGGTCGAGCCGCAGAAACGATCGCTGGACTCGACCAAACCGACTCAATCCGCCTTGCACTGGCGCTATCTCTGGAGGCGGGACTAACGGCGGCGGTCTGGACATTCGTCGTAGCTGCTCGGGCATTGGAATCGGTCCACCATTGCTTGATAGTCGGGAACGGTTACTCGATGCAATCGAGTACAGTGATGAAGCCGTGGTAGCGCGTCGCTTCTTGAGTGTTGACGAAAACATCTTCTTGCGACCGCTCAGTACTTCGGGCAACACTTGATACACCTCTAGCTTCGCCTTAATCTGCGGTATCGAGTACTCGCCTACTCGATCAACGAGGAAATCAATCGCCACTAAATCCTCGTACATCACGAGCCAGTCGGCAACGCGCTTTGTGACAAGAATTTGACCGCCGTCACCCAAGTCGCCAATCTCGTTCGCAATAACTTCTGAAGCTCCAGTGTAAATCATCTTGCCCGTCACGGCATGCACATCCAGAATCAAAGCTCCATCGGCATCGACGGCGTCGTGAATACCCATGCGTACGCGCAATCCTCCAAAAATGAGACGGTGACCTAGACGTTGTCTTCTCGTCACGGGTAGCAAACCGTGAAGCTCCTTGGGCCAATTTGCAACAAGCAACTGGAGCTGGACATCTAAACAGTACTCGACTGCTTCCCGCACAGTGTGAAACGCAAGCTGGAAGGCGTCCCCCGCCGTCGTTATTTCATATCCTCGATATTTCATCAAAGATGCGCGGAGAATGTTATCGTGGATTTCTGTTGCGCGTTGCATGACCAGCCCGTCGCCAATTGCCCATAGAGCACTCGACGACTCAATGTCCGTAAACACAAACACTGGATTCACGAGCGGTGGCTCCGCCGACTCAATGAGCACCTGCGTATCTCTTGGCGACAAGAGGTCGCCTCCCTGCATAAACCTCGTCTGCACTTGCGCTTCAATATGGTCCGGCAGACACGGTCGAAAGAGATTGAGCACACAGGCTTGACTGCACATGGTCGTGACTGCAAGTGCCATGCCCGAGAGATGGTAAATGAGCAAACTGACGCTAATAAAGTCCAGCAACTTGTCTTCATTGTCCGCGAGCGCGTACATGACGACCGACGCAATTTGAAACTGCAGGGAAAAGAGCGCATAGACAATCATAATGCGCTTCAGCCGTTGGTACACGGGCGACGTGACGAACTGGCCCTGCACGTTTTCATACTTTCGTCCGCCGAGTTTCAGCCGCAGAATGAGCCAAATCATGTACAGAAAGCTAAAAACCTGCACAAAGTAGACGCTCAAGAGACACCGCTGGGTGTACTGGGTATAGCCTCCATGGGCGATCGCAAACGCCGACTCAATAGCCGCGTACACGAGCACCAGGCCGTGGACCGTCCAGGCGTAAAACGTGATCTGTTTCTTCTCTTTCTCAGCACCTCGATCCATCGACTTGGCTGCAATATTCGAAAGCTCGAACGTTAAGGGGAACATCCAGAGCGCCACGGCAAAGAGCGCAGCGTCTCCGAAACAGAGCAACGCCGTCGCAAGGGCGTCGTGCGTCTCTTCGAGTTGCAACACCGTGTAGATGCCCATGCTGCTGTAGCGGCGGTAGACCACCTCGTCGTCGGTCGAGGCCGACGACGCGTAGTCCCAAGTCGACGTCTCCACCGTCTCAAAGCTGATCCAGAGCAAGTACAGCACGCGCGTCGTGCTCCAGAGCCAGAGGTAGACGAAACAGTAGAAAAAGAGCCACCGGACGCTCGACACGTGCAAGTCCCAGCTCCGGCGCAGGCGGACCATGGTCAAGCCCGTGGCGAGACTCGAGAGGGCCATGCTCCCGACGGCGAGGGCCGTCCACATCATGGCCACGCCGTCGAGACGGACGGGAAAAGAGGAAGTGGAGGACGTGGACGTGGAAGAGGTGAGCAAGTGGGGAGGTGAGGGTGACGAAAACCGGGTGAGCTGCTCGGGTTGAATGGAGTTTTCGGAAGGAGTTCGTCACGAAAATCGGTTCAGTGCCAACGGCCATTCCGAGTGATGGCGGACGACTGACTGACTGACTGACTGTTGGTTTGTTGGGTTGATGGACGGCCTGAACGACGGCATGCGGTCGGGATTGAGTGGTGTGTGTGTGTTGGTATGATTGCAACAGCGACGAGGCGAAGAGCGGGAAAAGAGCGGGATCTTTCCGAGCCACGACACCGTCGACACGCCGCGATTCGTTGTGGCGTTGTCGATACAGGCTTTCGAGACACCTGGTGGAGGAGCGTGAGTGTGTGTGTGTGTGAGTGTCGTATGAAGGGGAGGGATGTGTGGATGTCGCGGCGTTTTCGAGGTGCCGTCTCCGATCCTGTTTAGCTACTTGTTTAGATGGAGTTAAGGTGGCAACCACGGATAGTCGCGAAGGTGAGCGACGGGCGACGTGTGGTTCGAACGGGAGCCGGAGCAGAGCTTCGTCTTCTTGCGTGTCCTACCTACCTCGAGGCACCACGTGGATGAAAGGTCCTTTTTCCGCCGTTACGACGAGAGACTTTGGAACACGTCGCGCCTCGCTGCGTTCACTTGAGTTGATTAACAACGGGCAGGAAGGAGGACGACCGGTTCCAGCGCTCGCTCAGTCCCTCCTTGACCTTTCGCTCTCGTGGAGCCCCTTCGCATCGGCCTGACTTCTAGTGCGTGCTGAAGGTTTCATCCGGAACCGCGGCGACCTGGACGAAAGCGCTGCTTCACGCCATGAACGGCAGAGCTACTACGGCGGTTCTTGGATGTAGAACACTAGATCGCACAAGTGTACGTAGCACAAGGCGTACAGGTGCATGTTGTACAGTGCAACGAGGTGAAGTGTACCGTCTAAAGCGTGGGCTGGCTAGCTGGCTGGCTCGTGAGTTCTACTGGATCATCACATTCATCGAGTTCGCCAAAGAGCGACTCGTTTCAGCTCTAACGTTTCCGAAGAAGTGCATCTCTTGCTGCGGTGCAAGTCTGCGCACCTCGCACGTGTTTGTTGCTGCAGTCGTGGCTACGTGCGTTGCAGATGGCATCCGTGCGTGCTATCAGCAGGTTTTGTGAAGGAGAAAGAAGCATGTTAAGTCTGCAACGCGCAGCTCATCGTAGCGTTACGGCCTCGTAGACCTGGTAGCTGAGCCTATGCGCTCACCTTGCTCACGAGTCCATTGTACTAGTGCCAAACGCGTTCTTGTGGTGGTCGTGGAGAGTTAATGGCCAGCGTGACTGCTCCACTCGAAGCCAGTCGTGTGTTACAGCACCGATGCAACACGTGCCGCATGCAAACGGATGCAAGTGGTAGGTAGACTGGACTCGCTCCTTTCTTTAGCTCCAGCAAACGCTGCTGGCCTTTCACCAGATACTTTCGCTCGTGTACTCGCACTATTCTTCCACTTCAAGCTGAGACGAGCTCCGTGCAAAATGCAAGTGATACAGTGTGACTGGCCTGGAAGCGATACTGCAAACGCGACACGTTGCCAAGAACTCTGGGTCAGCGACACGATGTCCCACATTACGTCCTTCGCGTGTCTTCACCATCTCGATAGCGGTGCTCAGCACTTCCAATGTCTGTGCCTCCTGCAGATGCGCGGATTATGCTGCGCGACTGGCTTCTAAGCTTGACTAATCATCCCATGGGGGAAAGGATGTATGGCCTCCAGCCATGCTGTCAAGCTTTGACGATAGCGGCTACTTGTCCGTCGTCGACGACCTAGCATCTACACTGAATTCATCTCTAGATTTATATTGCAATACAGCTCATTCATCCCATTGCTACAATACTTATTGTGTCGCTGCTAGTCCGTCCTACGTGTGCGTCTGCCTCGTTATCCCGTGGAGCGAGATATTTCTGCGAAGAAACATAAAGTACTTGTCTACCTGCAGCACTGTTTGCTAAGGCTCTAGTTGCGTGCTTGAAGCTTGCCCGAAGCTTGCGGCCCGTGCACCAACCACGAAAAAGAACTGAAAGCGCACGCGACATGCCGCCGAAAAGAATCGGGCTCGGTTTTTTTTCTCAGTACAAAAAGACACACTGCCTGACCGACGGCTCGCCCACGCGCCGTTTTCGAGAAAAAGTGCAGTAGAAGGAGCAAGTTCTCAGGACCGTTAGAAAAAAGAAGCGCAATAATTGCAATACCAAGATAGCAGTGCGACTCGGCGGGGTTTGTTTCCACGCGTGCCTTTCTCGTCTCATTTCGAGATTCGATTGATGGCAAACAGGGCCAAAAGACAGTCTTCAGTTGGTTCATCGCCGGATCTTTTGCTCGTTTCCACACGTCAGTCGCCCGCCGTCGGTCGTCGATCCCAAGTCTCGACATTGCAACCACTGGGCTTTCTATCGTGCGTCCTCGTCGACTCGTGAACTGTCTATTGTTCGCTTTTCGCTCTTGCAAAAAAGACTCGAGAGACGTCGGTGACCAGTCGTTTGCGTTCCATTCGAACCGGGAGCTCGAATCTAGAACCGTGGTAAGCTCGGGGCGTCGGACCTCAGGTCTGTGACGAGGCCGAGAGGCAAAGCTCGCTGCTGAACTACCGGGACGTCGCCCGAGTATCGTGGCTTGCATCTGTTTACCAGGTGATAGAGAGAGAGAGAGAGTTCAGTACTGTTGGTCCTCTCGTACTATGACAACAACGGACGAGGGACCGAGTCAAGTCCCTCGGATCACTACTCCAGCCCCACCGACCGCTACGAGCAGCCACAGCCTGGCGCTTAGTGCGAACAAGAACAAGAACTGGCGAGCCAATTACCTGCGTGCGCTCAACATTGTCACGCCCGACGTGACGACATGGACGCGAGGACGTCATGTCTCAGCACCCGAGACCTCTCGACGCCCGACAGCCACTCAATTGACTGGTTCAGGACGTTCGGAGCTTTTGACGACGAGTCGACGACGGCATGTCGCAGGTGCCGAAGAAGGGACACGTCGAAGCTCGAGTGGCACTAGTAGCAGTTGCAGTAGTTGCAGTAGTAGTAGTCACCATCATCTTAGTACCAGGGGACGGTCGATCTCGACGTCGAAAAGCAGGCGGGGAGCGTCCCCCTGTGACACCGACAAGACGTCGATGTACGCGTTTGGCCTGCGCTCGCATTTGTTTCGAGCGCGACGAGCTACAAGCCGATGTGACTATGGAGGTGTGAGGGGATATCCGGGAAAGTCGGCACCGATCAAGATCCCGAAGAGTGTTGAAGTGGCGTCTCCTACAGCGAGCGCATCGTCCCCTACAGAGGACGAATCCAACCGAGCAGTTGAGTGTTTGCAAGTGCAGAGACGGCCATGCAGTACGAGGAACTACCCGAACCCAGCAGCAGAGTCAAAGTCGTCGACCATGCAGCTGCTGTCGTGGGAAGAACCGCTTGCAATGCTCGGACAAAGTGAATGGCCATTGCAGAAATGCAATAGCAGTAATGAGGTCGTAAAGAGTCCGGTGGACTGCCGGTGGTCGTCGAGACGTCCTGATGGTATTGTGGAAGAGTGTGAGGAGACGGAGGAGGAAGATGCGGATGGGTGCACGCAATCCGAGGATGACGATGAGGGTATATTTAAGATGGAGTTTGACAGCGAATCTACTGGTGGCAAGGTGGCTAGCGTCAACAAGCGAGCGAACAAGGAGAAGGAGCGTATAAACGTGAGTCAACGTCGAACAAGCTGCTTGGACGATGTTAGAGGCATGGACGACAGTAAAGTCGTGACGCCCCTCTCTGCTTCGTTCGTGCCGCCGCACCAGATGGTCGAGCATGGGTGCTTTTCACTCGGACTGCGCGACAAGCTGAAGCGGAAGCCTGGTGTTTACTGCTGAACATGGTGGAATCTGGAAAGGCGTTGAGCGTTGGTTGAAGACTTGGGACGAAGGAAGCTCCAGGTGCTATGCTAGACAAGAGAAGCCACTTTGGTGTCGGTCTACCAGCTCAACCGATGAAGTATTATTAATTCAGACGCTGTCTGCTTCTGACTGTTCAAGCGTCTTAAGTTATTGATCGTGTGTGCTACGAGACGAGTTCAAGCAGCACTTTACCTGCTACCTACTTCGAATCAAACTCCCTCGTTCGGGTGTGCAAGGTATGAAAAACCACGACGCAGGTGAACCCATCGGAGTCCCTAAGCTACTCGAGCCCGACGTTGATCGGTCGATAACAACTTGAGGGATCCGTTTGTGCTGATCCTTGGCAAAGATCCGCTTCCGTCGAGACAGCGCCGCAGGAAGCACTTCATACACGGCCACGTGCATATTCACTTGGGGGACCAAGTAGTCGCACAAGTACGTGACCGAGAAGTCCCGAGGTAAAGCGTTTTTGTTGGCCATCAACCAGTCTGCGATTCGTCGAGTGATCAAGATCTGACCTCCAGCGCCAACGTCACTCACCTCGCCAGCAATAACCTCGGCCGCTCCAGTGTACACTGTTTTCCCCGTGACAGCATGGGGACTATGGTGAAGGTGTCCATCCGATCCAGTTGCATCGTGGATCCCCATGCGAACCCGAAGACCACGGAAAACCACGCGGTGCCCCACCCGGTGCTTCTTGGTCGCTGCTACCAGCCCATGGAGATCCTTGGGCCAGTCAGCTGCCAACAATTGAAGCTGCACGTCGAGGCAGTAAGCCACAGCTTCCCAAATCGTGTGGAAAGCCAATTGAAAGGAATCGCCGGCAGTTGTGATCTCGTAGCCTCGGTACAATGTCAGCAGAGACCGGAGCGTATCGTCGTGTACCTGAATGGCCCGTTGCATGACTTTGGAGTCCCCACTGGCCCACAAAGCACTGGAAGACTCGATATCCGTGACGACGAAGACTGGGTTGGCTACTGGAGGTGCCACGAATTTGCTGCGCTTGTGGACACCTGCAACTTGCGGGCGATTCGCTTCGACTACCAACTGCACGAGCATCTCATCTGGAAAGCAGCAGCCACAGAAGCGCAATGTACAGGGCAAACTGCAGCCTGTTGAAAGGGCGAGGGCCAACCCCGTGGCGTTGTACAGGACTTGGCTCAGCCCAATGTAGTTGAACGCCATCTCGTCGCGAGGGGTTCTCACGTACATGAAGAGCGACGTGCACTCGTACTGCAATGCAGAGAGGGCGTAGGCAAACAGGATGCGCTTGAGCCGGTGGTACACTGGCGAAGCTTGAAAGCGGCCGTTGATGGACTCGACGTCTCGCCCGTTGCGCTTGAGCAGGAAAAGCACGACCCCCATGTAGACGAGAGTCGTCACCTGCATCACGTAAATGCACAGGGCGAGGCGATACGTGTAGCTGGAATACCCGCCTTTGACGAGACTCAGCACGGCTTCTGCGATCGAGAAGCTTGCAATCAAAGCATGACCGAGCACCAGGTAGAGGCGAATTTTTGCCTGTTCCTTGGCCGTGCCTCGGTCCATTGATTTGGTTGCAATCTTGGACAACTCGTAGGTTAACGGGAGCGCCCACAGCGCGGCCGCGAAGTGCATGACGTCGCAGAAGCTCAGTATAATGGTGAGTAGAGCTGGTCGGACAACTTGCAGGTCAGTCATTGCGTAGATTCCTGATTGATCGAGTTGTTTTGAGGTTGACGCAGGAACTGGTTGAGGTCCATCCTCGAGTTCAGGAATGGGGAGCAAGACCACCCACAAGTAGTAGCTACTGCAGGCGACAGTGTAAAGCCAGAGGTAGACGAAGAAGGTCAAGAAGAGCCATCGCACACTCGAGACCCGGAAGTCCCAGTCGCGGTATAATTTGATGGTAATGAGGAGGGTCGAGATGTTGGAAAGCAGGATGGACGTGAGACCGAGGAGGACCCAGGGCATGACCATTCGCGAAAGCGTTGCGAAGTCGAACTAAGGAGCTCAAGTGGCGAGCACCAGCCACGAGCATGCGCACGTTATTGTTGCGGTTGTCGAGGGTGTGCGGTTGGTTTACTACAAGACGTTATGGAGCTTGGCAGTCGGCTGGTAAATTTGCAGCTCGAGGTTGATACCTCTGAACCCGACAAGATCACCAGGTTTGGGGAGGTGGTCCAGCTGGCACATCGAATTGGTCTCTGGGTTGGTAAATCGGATACCATCTGGACATGAGACTGTGGTGACCAGCTGGGTGCGTTGTTGACTGATAACGGACAGAAGACTCTCTTGTGTCAAGTCTTGAGATGACTGCAGAAGCACACGAGACGATTTTAACGGGGCGAGGAAGAATAGTGCGACTGCATTTTTGCGTGTGGATTGACTTGACTCAAACGTGCTTCATTGCTAATGACTGTCAAGTTGACGAGTTTCCCATGTGCTTGTGTCCGGAACTAGTCAGCTGGAAACCAAACACGAGACGTTGGCATCTCTCTCTCGTTTTCTTCATCCACATGGCGTTTCTCGTCGTAATGGCAGTATTCGTTTGTTCATAAATATCGGCTCGCCGCTGCATACTCGACACCCTTTGCATGTTCACATCACGTCGGACACACGCGCACCTGCTTGTGCCTCTCACAATGCACCGCCGCCTGCTTTTCTCCCCGTCCTCTGCTCCACCGCTCCTGTCATCTTAACCGTCACATCACTTTCTCAGTCCGCTGATCCATCGACGGCGCTTGCGATGCAGGCCCCTCTTGGACTGCATCCATCTCCTTCCTCTTTGCTGCGTCCATTTCCGCTTCATCCTTTTCTCTTTCCGCCAGCTCTTGCAGCACCAAAAATGCATCACATCTTGGACCCAAACAGTCTTCTTCATCCCGTTCCGAGCCAGAGCCGTAGAACGCATCCAATTGATCCGGATCGGCCGAAACGACCAGATCCACTTCGTCCAGCGTCACGGTCTCCTCTTCGTCTTGCAACAACCTCTTTGGCACACCTGCTGCATCTTCGGGATGACCTACGAGCGTCTGATAAGTCCTGAGATCGTTGGCAAAAGCACTGGCCAACTGCTGTCGTCTCGTCTCCAGCAACTCCCGTCTACGACCTTCCGACTCCTCGGCAATGCTCACCTCAAAGCACTCGAGCTCCTGTTGCTGCTTGGCCGCAACCTCTGCATTCTGTAACGCTGCCCTCTCTTCACACCGTTTCATCAGCAAACTCTCGACTTGGTCGACCTCTTCGACCACTTTTAGCACCAAAGTCCGGACTTGAGCGAGTTGCTGCCGCACTTTCGACACGAGATGAAAGTTCTGAGTCACGTATTGGTCACTGGCTGCTTCAGTCTGCAACTTCACTCGCGTAGAGCTCAAGGCAGCGTCGAGTGCTTGACCCCTATGATGGAATAAAAATACCCAAATATAATTAGAAGAAGAGAAAAGGTAAGATCTCCAATAAGTACGACTGCGTTTTTCTATCGTCAAATAGAAATGTAGAAACGACACGTACTGGTTTAGTAATCGATCGTGGGTACGCACTGCTTTAGCGTATCGTTTGTGCTGGGAATTTAGAAACGCATGACCTTCGTGACGGACGGAGGATGCTACAGGAGCTTCTGTAGCAGCAACGGCGTCGTTTGGCAACGCCGTTTCAACAGAGCAGCTGGTAGATACGCTACGAAAGGGTATGGAGCGGTTACTGACGGCTGAAAGCTCACGGTCGAGCGCAGACGAGAGCTCGCGCGACTTGGCCACGACGTACTGGAACCCGAGCATGATGGAGAGGTGAAGGTCACTAAAACGAAGGGGGCTCCCCGGGTCATGGTATTTAGAAAAGAGCGGAATAGAAATGCAACGAAACGAGAGCAACATAAGCTGCGAGCAGCTGAAGCGGCGGTAATCTATTTCTGATAGTTTCTCCATTTGTGGATATGACTATCTCGAGTGGAACTCTTCTCTGAACTTCCTTCACGAAACGGGCAAAAACATAGAGAACTCGTACTCGTACCATGCGACTCTTGCATTTATTTGCATACTAACGTAACGTGCACGAAGCGTACCGATGAAAGCTTATACGTACGGCGATGGAAGCTTATACGTACGGGATACAGATACATTTGAACTTGCATATGCAATCCCATTCACTTTCTAGACACGGCGTTGTACAGCACGTAAAGACATTTACTGCCTGTTCTATATAGTCGAGAACTAGCGCTGGAGGTAAAGAAGTGCACGCACATGGTGTCGGTCGTAAACTTCGGTCCACCTAAAAATACTGTGCCACGTTCACCATACTACGCGCACAATACACTCTCAGCTGGTACAGATGTAAACGCAATCCGTTTATGGTTACGATAGTGTTGCTGAAGACTCAGCGACAGATGTCTTCGTAGCTCGCTCCCAGCAGCCTCGCGTCCACCATAACGCTAGTGGTAGATCGACACAAACAAACTACATTTTGCGGTAAGCATGACGCCTAACGTCTTTACAAGCTGCGCCATTTCCCAAAGCCACAAAGGATGTAATGATCGACACTGACGGTATGTCGTGATGATTAAGTAAGGGATGAATTGATGTCCATATTGCATTGATCTAGACTGCGGTACGAATATAACCGGGCACAACGTCGACTACGAAGAGAAGATAATGTGTAGTGCTGATGAAATACGAACCGTCATTTATCGATAAGGACGTATGCTTGGGACTCTGCTCCATTTAGACCATTGAGTACCTCGTTTCGATCGGGTTCGAGCCATGTTACAAATACGAAACACCGCGTCGTACCATATATATTGCAACACTCTGCCTGTACAGGAATAACAGTACACAGTTCTGCGCGTTGAGTGGCGATGATGCGATTAACGTTGGCTGCGATTGCTAAGTTTTGTGATGCCATCCCGCGTACATCAGCTCTTGCACAGCAACGCAACTGTATTATGCGCTACCTAGACGTCATCCTTGTTCTTATTTGTGCCATCCTGGCGCTACACTCACTGTAGGCAGCCTAGTCAAGCACGCTGTAGAAACAATCTTAGTTTGCTGCAGAACTAGCATGGTGTCTGTCTCAGCTTACGTCGTGCAGAACGCTTGTCTTGGATTTCAACGCGCTAACACCGGTACGTAGCAGTCACGTAGTGCTTTGGAGCTGCATCCACTGCTCTAAAACGATCGATACTTCAGAAATGCGATACGTACGCACTACCATCAACCACTGTCTTCAAACATGTGCTGATCCTTTGAAATCATTCGTATGAGCATGTAAATGGTATTATGATGAGCTCTGGCACGCTAAAAGGACGTATGGAGGACTCTCACTTCGACTTGAGCTACAGCGACTGATTCCCGAGACTTTCGCGGGGGCGGCTGCAGAGCTTAGAGATGGTCTTCAATTGCGTAAGAGCGTACGCGATAAATGAATAAGCATTCTCGAGGAAGGCTGCTTGCGTCTAGTCCAACGATAATAGTTAATGTCTACGGTGTCTGGATGACGAAGAGGCAACACTTTGATGACTAACGACGTTCCAGTGCCATGCATCATTACACGCGCGACAACTATGACAGCGATATAATGTAGGTAGCTACGGCGATCGTACGACGCGAATCTCAGCCCAGTGGGGTAGACCGCAGCCAATTTGAACGCGAACACGGCAGTAGTACTAACTATCCTTTGATAAAGGTCACGTGGAACCCTAATGGCGCGGCAGCATGGGTCGTACATGCTTCAAGAGGTGAGCGTTGGCTTCAGATCCGTATAGTCGGGCAGCAGGTCAAGTGTAGCACATTCCACAACGAACAATTACGCAGACAACATGGACGTTTAGTCGAAGCGAGTGAAGCAAATGGATTCACACCATGTTGTTTGGTGGACAGTGGATGATTATACGTCAACGTCGATGTAGACGCCGAAGGTAGCGCATCTAAAACGTATCGTATTGAGAATGAGAAGCTCAGCAGTCTTCCACGTACGGGGATCAACCCGCGATGAAGAAAAGTGGAGGAGAAAACACATTGGGAGCTCAGTTTGAAAGGGGGTTCGATCGGGCTACCTAACGCAACTAGCAGGAGTTAGTGAAGGTCACTAGACCATAGTGGATGGAGATGCCAAGCTCGATAGATTATATTCACTGTACTCCAAAGGCTGCATACGAGGTGCAACTGAAGCAGCAACGGGTGCAAATTTGAAGAACGACGGTCAATGAGTCGGTGGCCGGCGGGACAGACGAAGGAAGGTGATCGAAGTGACCGCAATGCACTTTACTGAGAAAAAAATAAGGACGCATATGCTTTGACATCCAACTACCATTATCATACAGCAGGACTTACATGGACACATCGTTGTCCTATAGATGATGATGACGATGTCCTTGGATGTTTTTGCCTTCCGAGTCGTGATCTTCGACGACGATTTGATTTGCCAACTATGAATCCATGCAAAAACTCACATGATTGCATGGATTTATCATCGACGAGGCAATGCCACATGACATGAGACGGCAAACATGTTGTCTGTATCAAAACCCAATACTTTTCGCAACTTTTGATGGACTGCGAACTAGAACTGTCTCCGTCAGGTCCATTGGCCAAGCAGTACCCTGCTGACTGACTAGACCATTCTTGGACATATTGGAGCCAAAACAGAGGTCAGTTTAACACACGACGACCAACGTCGTCTTATGGTCGCACGCTTCAGTGCGCTGTACAACATGTTAGAACCCATCGTACCATATTGCAGTGCTGTTGTTTTTTACATGATCGCATTTGATATGTCAGTACGGCTATCAAGTCTACAGTTGAGTGCCAATCCGTCACGAGCTCACTACATTTGACTTGAAAGAGATCCTTTGTGACCGAGACCAGCGTCCAGCGAAAGCCCATTATTTGAGAACACACAAGGATCGTTGAGGTGACGAATTGCTGAGGAACATTACGCTCAATTGGTTAGACACACCGTAGTCTCTTGTGCCAACCACGATGCGAA